CCCCACTTCTGGCTCCCTGCTCAGCTCTCCCTCCCCCAGCACATGCTCTCTCGCTCGCTCGCTCTCTCAATCTTTTAAAAAGGCAAAATACAACACTTATTTTATAGAATTTTTAAAGTTTTATTTTAAGCAGGCTCCACACTGAATATGGGGCTTGAACTCACGACCCTGAGATTGATGAAGCAACACATGCTCTACTGACGGAGCCAGCCAGGCACCCTGATTTTGCAGAATTTTTGTTTTGCTTTTTTGGAGAAGAATTTTTGTGTGATAAATTTACATTGAGTATTATTTTCACAGCTTTTTTTTTTAAGATTTTATTTATTTGACACAGAGACAGAGCACAAGTAGGCAGGCAGAGGGAGAGGGAGAAGCAGGCTTCCCACCGAGCAGGGAGCCTGATTCGGGGCTCGATCCCAGGACCCTGGGATCATGACCTGAGCTGAAGGCAGACGCTTAACGACCGAGCCACCCAGGTGCCCCTTTTTTCACAGCTTTATTGGAGTATAATTTTAAGTCTATGTTTGTGATTTTTTTTTTTTTTTTGGAGATTTTATTTATTTACTTGACACAGAGCACAAGCACGGGGAGTGGCAGGGAGAGGGAGAAGCAGGCCCCTGATGTGGGACTTGATCCCAGGACCCCGAGATCATGACCTGAGCCGAAGGCAGACGCTTAGCTGACTGAGCCACCCAGGTGCCACCAAGAACTTTTTCTTCATCCCAGAGATTCTGTTCCCATTAAATAATAGCTCCTCACTGCCCTGTCTCCACTTGCAGTCACGGGTAGCCTCTAACCTACTTTCTGTCTCTGTGAATTTGCCTATTCTAGGTACCTCATGTAAGTGGAACCATAAAATATTTGTCCTTCTGCGTGTGACTTACTTCACTTTGCATGTTATTTTCAAGATTCACCCATGTTTTATTGGATTTTGAGGCAGAATGGCTAGATCAGTAAAAAGCAAGGAAAATTTGGTCAGAGTTCTCAAGGCATCTCTTGGGAAAAATTACTTACCTTAGACATTCAAATATCTGTTTCCGGGGCACCTGGGTGGCTCAGTCGTTAAGCTTCTCCCTTCAGCTCAGGTCACGGACCCAGGATCCTGGGATCGAGCCCCGCATCGGGCTCCCTGCTCCACGGGAAGCCTGCTTCTCCCTCTCCCACTCCCCCTGCTTGTGTTCCCTCTCTCACTGTTTCTCTCTGTCAAATAAAGTCTTTAAAAATATATATATATGTTTAAAAGAAAGTATGTTTCTGGTTTCTCCCAACTTCTAGTGTATCTGTTTTATTTCATTGGAGTATAATGGGGGGGGGGGGTATTTGAGCAGTGTTCAATTGTTTGTATAACCATATGAGAAGCCGGGATGATGATGGCGTCCCAGACTCCCTTCAACTCTAGGTTATTGAAGTTTTGTTGCTTTGTTATATATTTTCAGTGCTCATGAATATAATTTGCCCCCAAACTTGGAACACTGTGCCATATTAATTTGCATTTATGTATCTTGCTATGTACTTTTCTGGAGTATTTTTTGCATCTAGGTGTATGATCAGTTGAGTAACAGACTTTTCCCACCTGCAACTTCCCAATGGACCTCTCAGTATGAGATGTTTTGTTTTTTTAAAGATTTTATTTATTTATTTATTTGAGAGGGAGAGGGAGAAGCAGACTCCCCACTGAGCAGAGCGCCGGATGTGGGACTCGATCCCAGGACCCTGGGATCATGACCTGAGCCGAAGGCAGATGCTTAACTGACTGAGCCATCCAGGTGCCCATCAATATGAGATGTTGATCAAGTTCCCTGGAACACTGTTACTGTGGAGTTGGGACTTCACTTTTGATGTTCTGTAGCATTCAGCTTTCCAGTTTCCACCTTGTGGGTATTTTTCAGAAGTAAACCACTTCAGAAATAACATAACTCAAAATACCAGATCTTTAGGGGGACCTGTAGCTAAAGACTGTTTGTATATTCTATAATACGTCTCCTATCTGAAGCTGTTAAAACTAAGAGGATATGGAGAAGTTGGAACCTCATGTGCTGCTGGTGGTGACGTAAGATGGTAGGGCCCCTTTGGAAAGCAGCCCAACACTTTTTCTAAGTGTTGAACAAAGGGCTACCATGCAGCCCAGCAGTTCGCTCCCAGGTCTTTACACAGGAGAACTGAAAACATGTTCATACAAAAACTTGCACACAAAAGTTCATAGCAGCATTGTTCATAATAGCAAAAAGTAGGGGAGAAAACAAATGTCCATCAGTTGATAAATGGATAAACAAAATACATCTATACAAATGGAATATCATTTGGACATAAAAAGGTACAAAGTAATAACAGGCTACAAACATGAATGAACCTTAAAAACATGATGCTCAGTGAAAACCAGTCACAAAAAAACCCACACATATTATATGGTTCCATTTATGTGAAAAGTCCAGGGGTGCCTGGGTGGCTCAGTCAGTTAAGCATCCAACTCTTGATTTCGGTTCAGGTCGTGATCTCTCAGGGTCATGAGATCAAGCCTCACATCTCCCTCTGCGCTGGGCGTGGGGTCTGCTTAAGATTCTCTCCCTGTGGGGTGCCTTGGTAGCTCAGTCATTAAGCGTCTGCCTTCCAGGGGCGCCTGGGTGGCTCAGATGGTTGAGCGTCTGCCTTCGGCTCAGGTCACGGTCCCAGGGTCCTGGGATTGAGCTCCACATCGGGCTCCCTGCTCAGTGGGGAGCCTGCTTCTCCCTCTCCCACTCCCCCTGCTTGTGTTCCCTCTCTCATTGTCTCTATCTCTCTCTGTCAAATAAATAAATAAATAAAATATTTAAAAAAAAAAATTCTCTCCCTGCCCCTCCCCCCTCTCGCACACACTTGCTCTGTCTCTCCCCCTCCTTCTCAAAAAAAAAAAAGTCAAAATTAGCAAATTTAGAGACAGACTAAATTAGTTGAGGACAGAGATATGGGCAGAGAGACTGCTAATGGGTATGGGTTTTTTAGGGGGTAGATGATAATGTTCTAATATTGATTGTGGTGGTGATTACAGTTCTTTGAATACAGAAAAAAACATTAAAATGCGCACTTTTTTTAAACATTTATTTGAGAGCACCCATACACGAGACGTGGGAGGGAGAAAGGGAGAGAAGAGAATCCTCAAGCAGACTTCCCTCTGAGCGTGGAGCCCAATGTGGGGCTCCATCCAGGACCCTGAGATCAGGACCTGAGCCAAAATCAAAAGTTGGCCACTTAAAACAGCTGAGCCATCCAGGCACCCCAAAGTGTGTGCTTTAAATAGGTGGATTATGTGATCTGTGAATTAACATCTCAGTAAAGCTAATCTTTTTAAAAAGAGAATTAAGAACTATTGCCCAGGGACGCCAGGGTGGCTCAGTCGGTTAAGCATCTGCCTTTGGCTCAGGTCATGATCTCAGGTTCCTGGGATCAAGTCCCGCATCGGGCTTCCTGCTCGGCTGGGAGTCTGCTTCTCCCTTGCTCTCTGCCCCTCCCCCACCCCCCACTTGTGCTTGCCCTCTCAAATAAATAAATAAAATCTATAAAAAGAAAGAAAAGAAGAAACATTACCCAAAAATTCAGAGATCTGGCTTCTTTTTTTTCTGATCTCCAAAATGTCTGTTTCCTTTTGTTGGATTTTTTTTTTTTTTTCGTCCCAGGAAAGGATCAAATAGCTCTTATTTTACTCCTCACTACAAGAAGGAAGATGCCTCAAACACAAACCTATTTTTCTTTGCAAGAGTACCAGTTAACATTGGTAGTGTTCTCTGTCCTCCTACTTGAGTCTGTGAATTATTGGGTCTGATCTCATGTCTTAGGTATAGAAGTCATAACCCTAGGGTATAGAAATTAAATTTTGTTGAGCATCTTCTGAGTCCCCACTTTCACAGATAAAATTGAGATTTAGGGAGGTAAAGTAACTTATTAAATATTTGAGCTTATAAAAGTAATTAGCAGTTTGATCCTATGTTTCTATGACTCAAAAAACGTTCTTTCCAGTGCCTCATTGCTGTTTCCTACCAGGAAAACAGCCCTGGATTTAAAAGTATGGAAGAAATTCTGCATTTAGATTTTGTTAGCATAAAAAATCAAAGTGAGAGGGAAAATGATATTTTCTTGCCTTTAATAATTTTGCTGCATAAGTAGAGAAAGTATTACCTTTTATCAGCCTAAACACCTGAGTCTTTCATTAAAGCCAAGTATCTTTTTTTTTTTCTAAGTGGGCTCCATGCCCAGTGGGCTTGAACTCACGACCCCAAGATCAAGAGTCACCTGCTCTACCAACTGAGCCAGCTGGGCTCCCCCTAAAGCCAAGTATCTTAAGATATTGAGTCTGTGGGCGCCTGGGTGGCTCAGTCGTTAGGCGTCTGCCTTCGGTTCAGGGCATGATCCCAGGGTCCTGGGATCGAGCCCCACATCGGGCTCCCTGCTCCGTGGGAAGCCTGCTTCTCCCTCTCCCACTCCCCCTGCTTGTGTTCCCTCTCTCGCTGTCTCTCTGTCAAATAAATAAAATCTTTAAAAAAAAAACCAACAACAAACCAACGCATCTGACTTGGAGCATACAGACACAAAAAGCCAGTCACAAAAAAATGTTTATTTTCTGAGAGATGTAGGCTTTCAATGGACCATCCAGGTGAGTGTAGTGGTGATCCAGTTAATCTATAGTAAGGAAGATTTCTCGATGACTAGAAAGTAGTTGAAGTTTACTTTCCACTGCTGAAGTTGAGTGGAGAAATCTCCTTTAGTGTAGGTGTTCTGGGAACAGGTAGAAGGTTAGCTCAGTGGCCTTTGAACTTCATGTATCTATGACTTTTTATTTTTTGAAGGAAGCTCTGCACACAATGTGGGGCTTGAACTCACAACCCTGAGATCAAGAGTTGCAGGCTTTACCGACTGAGCCGGCCGGGGGTCCCTGTGGTTCTTCTGAGGGCCTCTTCCACTCACCCTAGTTCCTTACAGACTGTTGAAGGGGCTGTGTTCTGATCTCACTTTTACTTTCCTTTCCGTAGCATGGAGAGAATGACAGAAGACGCTCTTCGCCTGAACCTGTTGAAGCGAAGCTTGGACCCGGCGGATGAGCGAGATGATGTCCTGGCTAAGCGACTCAAAATGGAGGGGCATGAGGCCATGGAACGCCTGAAGATGCTGGCACTGCTCAAGCGGAAGGATCTGGCGAATCTTGAGGTGCCACCCGAGTTGCCCACCAAGCAGGATGGCAGTGGAGTCAAGGGCTATGAGGAGAAGCTCAACGGGAGTCTCAGGCCTCACGGAGACAACAGGACGGCCGGGAGGCCCGGCAAAGAAAACCTCAGTGACGAGCCTGTGGATATGAGTGCAAGGCGGAGGTACGGCGCCGCTCAGCTGCCTCCTGCAGTGGGGTATCCTCCCAAACTAAGCCTGTGGAAATGGGATGGAACCCAGTGAGAGGAGGTGCTTCTTGAAAGAAGACGTGTGTGTGCCACTTGGCTTGGCCGTGAATTCCTCTCACTTCCAAGTGAAACTTGGTGCCTCATCTGTCTGCTTAGCACAGAGAATCTTACAGTTAACACCCTTAAGACAAAGGTCATTTCTGGATGAAGGAGGCACCACAGAGCTAGAAGTGAGGTGATGCGGGCTTCACTCTTAGGGCCATTTTAGGAAGGCAGCAGACTTTCCTTCAGGTCACCTGAGAGTTTCAGAATCTGTTTGTTACGGAGTTCCCACTTCTGTTACATCCAAAAGCATGGGCCCAGCTTCTCTTTCATGAACAAGGAAATTGTCTTCATGTGCTAGTTCTCTGCATTCTTGCTTTGTGCCACTCTCTTCAACCTCTACATACACAAACATACACACACACTTGTGCGTGTAAACTCTCACACGCACACGTTTTCACAGGATTTTTTTCTGGTGCCTTGTCAAGGCTGAGTACTTGAAACAGTGAAAGGTACTGGCTGAGGGTGACGACTTCCGGGACAGTGAATCACAGTGTAGACAGCCCTATCTTTAAGAACATTCAGTTTATTAATAGTTCAGATATAGCTGATAGGGCATGAGAATGATCCTTTAGTGTCCACTTTATTTTAGGGATGAACTCTTGAAACTTGATCCTCTGGAAACCGGGAACTGTTTTTAATGGTCTCCAGGAAAAGAGGGTTAATGTAAACTATCTAGATCCCCATTCTACATGGAAAAATAGGCCCCATTGGCCCCTCCCACTCTTCTCCCCTTTCACCAGATATACCGACAGTTATTTACACTTAGCCCCAAGCTTTTTATAAGAACGAACGGGATTGATAGATGGTTCAGCAGGGAGAACAACAGTGTCTTTATCTGGATAAAAGAAGACAATTTAAAAGCAGAAAGAATGAAGAGCCCCTGACATCAATGATAGCCACATCATAATTGCCTAAATTTTTTTTGCCATCAGTTGGGCAGGTTACAATGTATATGAAATAAGGTGTGTGAAACCAGTGCTTGCTTATATTTTGGAAAGCTAGAGAAACATGGCCACTTTCTATTTAGTTGTTTTTACAACGGGAATGAGGATTAGAAGTTACATAGCTTTTGGGAATGTGCCAGTCTGGGTCGTAAGTGAGGTTAGCAACAATTCAGGGTTTTAGTAATCTCCAACAGGTAAAGCTTCATACTTAAGAACACCAAATAATGTAAATTATATGTACATTGGGAAAGCAGCAAAATAATTTCTGTCCCCGGAAAGCTTAATTAATGAGACCAGAACCTCAAGTCAGATGTAAAAAAACAGTTGAAGAATGAAACAAGACTTGACTTGGGTTTTGCTTTGCCTGTGCTGGTCTGATTATATCCAGGAATAAAATATCATTTAGTTAGGGTTGTTCTCAGATACAGTTCCTTGATAAGTGCTGCTCGGTTCCACAGTCTCCATCCAGGAATGTCTCTACCTGTCTTGTTGCTGGGCAGTCCATCAGCAATGGGTGGCATTCATTTGAGCAAGGAGGAATTCTTAGAGATAATATTGATGCATGTATTACAGCCAGGACCAGAATGGAAGGAGCTTTGGACTGTTGATGTAAACAAACACCGGAAACCAAGGAGAATTAGAAATCCACCAGGTCTCAAAATTAGTCATCTGTGTTAGTGTTAGGGATGGGAGACAGGGATGAAGGAATATAGAAATGAAAAATGAAATCACCAGAAAATAAAATCAAACACTGTGAGGTCTGACCATCATTCCAGCAACTTGGGGTCAGAGAAAGATGGGCTCTTCTCCCTCTCCTGGCTTCTTTTTCTGTAATCTCACATCCTCAGCTTGCCATCTGTGACCAGTGGTTGTAGGGCAATCCAGACAAATGGAATAGTCCCCAGCATAGTCACACATGTCACTCTGTCCCTCTGTTCTATCTTCTCAGCTAAATTTGTTTGATTTTACTAACTCTGTTTTACCCTGTTGAGAAATTGGATGCTCACCCCATCTAGGCAGGGTGCCCTGTTCAAAAGGTATCTATGTCCCAACAGCCGAGAAGAGACCCAGAGAAATGGTAGAGAGGCTCACAGGACTAAAGCTCTGTGGGTGTTAGGGATTCGAGTTTCATGTTTAAGTTACAACTACAAAATTGCTTTAGATCTGTGTATTCCTAACTACACTGAAGATCTTGAGGAAGTAGGTTCTGGGAAGATATCTTTGAGTTAAGAAATCAGAGAGTTAGAAGATGTGGTCATTGATTTGGGAACCTGAGGCAATTAGAATCTCCAGAATTCAGTGCCATTTTTTATCATCTTAGAAAAACAGGTATGATGCTTTTATGGCTAGCCCCAAAAGACCAAAACTATAATTGTCTAATAAATAAGATTGGGAATACAGGGACCCAGTAAACGATTTCAAAGTCGTTTCTAGACAGTTTCTTGCTGAAGGAAGATGCTAAGTGGAAGTCTGGCAAGTAGATGCGTTTTGGAGTTTCAGTCCTCCCGAAGGCTGTAGACTTGGCACTGTCCATTCCTTCAAGCAGCTGACAACAGACCTTCTTTTGCCTTAACTCGTGAAAGGACAGACTACCGTTAGGGTTGTCGTAAAACCTCCTCTTCCGTAAATCCTTGTATAGCCGGGACCATGTTATGGGTATAGTGAGCTTAGGATCCTTGTTAGCACTGTACTGTCTATATCTCAGCTCTCCCGCCTTTGCCCTTCCAGCGAGCGGTTTCCTTCTTGAGCCTCTACATGACTAATGAGACAACCCAAAGGAGAGTGAGATGTAGGGGGAAACATTCAGAATTTTTTTTTTTTTTTTTTTTTAAGATTTTATTTATTTATTTGACAGAGACAGAGATAGCGAGAGCAGGAACACAAGCAGCGGGAGCGGGAGAGGGAGAGCAGGCTTCCCGCCGAGGAGGGAACCCGATGCGGGACTCGATCCCAGGACCCCGGGATCATGACCTGAGCCGAAGGCAGACGCTTAACGACTGAGCCACTCAGGCACCCAAACATTCAGAATTTTGATTCAGCTCGACATGATAAGAACACTCACCTCTTATTCCCATTTCTGAAGCCAGTCACTGTGTGTGTGTCTTGTCCCTACACAAGGAAATTAAATGGAAAGTACTGTGACTGAGGCTTTAGCACCACTTCTGTCTTGGTATTTTCTTCATCCTAGGATTTGAATCCCCTGGGTGAATTGGGACAGACCTAAGTTCCCTTGAATTTCAGTAGAAATTGTTCAGTAGAAAAAAAAGTTTTAACTTTTCTGTGAACCTGCACTGTTGAAATACCTTAATTTTTTTCTTGTCTAGTGAGCCAGACCGAGGAAGGCTGACTCCCTCCCCGGACATCATTGTTTTATCTGATAATGAGGCTTCCAGTCCCCGTTCCAGCTCCCGAATGGAAGAAAGACTCAAAGCAGCCAACCTAGAGATGTTTAAGGTAAAAAAAAAGCGAGAAGAAAGAGAAAACAGTATCTTCATTTTTTGCTCCTCCTATTTTAAGAGTCCCAGTTCTGTGTTTTTATAGTTTACTTTTTTAATCTAAGTAATTACCCACTGATGAAACTTTTTATGTGATTCTCAACCTCAAGGGCATGCCCTTTAATTTTTTAATTTTTTTTATTTTTTAAAGATTTATTTATTTTTATTTGAGAGAGAAAGCACAAGTGGGAGAAGGGGCAGAGGGAGAGAGAGAATCTCAGGCAGATTCCCCACTGAATGCAGAGCCCAACACTGGGCTCTATCTCACGACCCTGAGATCATGACCTGAGCTGAAATCAAGAGTAGGATACTCAACCAACTGAGCCACCCAGATGCCCCTAAAGATTGTTTTTAAGATTTTATTTATTTATTTGGCAGAGGGAAAGCACAAGCAGAGGAAGCGACAGGTAGAGGGAGTGGGAGTGGGAGAAGCAGGCTCCCTGCCGAGCAAGGAGCCTGATGTGGGGCTTGATCCCAGGACCCTGGGATCATGACCTGAGCCGAAGGCAGATGCTTAACGACCAAGCCACCCAGACGCCCCGCCCCTAAAGATTTTATTTTTAAGTAACCTCTACACCCAACATGGGGCTCGAACCTACAACCCCCAAGATCAAGAGTTACATGTTCCACCTACCTACTGAGCCAGCCAGGCACCCCAAGGGCATGCACTTTTACAGGGAATTAGAGCGGAGTGAAGAAGATAGTTTGACAATCACTTCTTGGCCTTTTGGCTAAGATCAAGTGTAGAAGATAGTTTGACAGAGCTTATTCAGTATAACTCATCTTTGGAAAATATGAAAACAAAACTTCGTAAGTCACATAAACTCTTGGCTGGAACAACTCTATCCTGGTTCTCATAATATGAAGGGATTCCTCAGTTTTTATGTATATCTAGAAGAAACTTGGCTTAAGAAGATCCAGAAACATTATTTTAAAGGAAAGCAGTGTCGGGTGCCTGGGTGGCTCAGCCGTTAAGCGTCTGCCTTCGGCTCAGGTCATGATCCCGGGGTCCTGGGATCGAGCCCCGCATTGGGCTCCCTGCTCCGCGGGAATCCTACTTCTCCCTCTCCCACTCCCCCTGCTTGTGTTCCCTCCCTCGCTGTGTCTCTCTCTGTCAAATAAATAAAGTATTTTTTAAAAAAGGAAAGCAGTGTTTTCCTGTGGCCATTCTTCTATTTTGCCAGAAATCTGGTTGATTATGATTTATATGTGGTCTCTCCTTTGATTCTGTAAGCATTTTTTGAGCACCTGCTGAATACCAAGCACTGTGCTGGAATCCAGGGACACAAAAATACCAGTCCCAGTGCTGCTTCTGCTTGGTGTGGAAGATGATTTCAGACCGAGAAGAAAAGATCATCTTGCAGGAAGGGACTCTGGCTGGGTGCCTGCTCCCATAGCTAGCCCTCCTGTCTCCTTAGGGGAAAGGTGTGGAGGAACGGCAGCAACTCATCAAGCAGCTGAGGGATGAGCTGCGATTGGAGGAAGCCCGGCTGGTGCTGTTAAAGAAACTGAGGCAGAGCCAGCTACAGAAAGAGAACGTGGTCCAGAAGGTATCACGCCCTAGTAATATGGGTCTGGGTTTGAGAATGGACTCCCCCAGGTAGGTTCAGTTGGGTGGCCCGTTCTTCTCTGGTTCTGTGGTTTTTAGTTTCTAAGAATAGTGATTTTTTTTTTTTTTTTTTTTTTTTTTTAAATCTTAGGCTTTAATCAAGAAAACCTTGATTCCATTTTTCTCATTTTTCATTTGGTCAACAGAAGCTTTACTCCCAACAAGGAATTTTAAAAGTCTGGGAGTGTTCCAGATTTCTGCCTCTGTTTCATTGTCTTTTCTCTCTCTCAGACCCCAGTTGTGCAGAATGCAGCATCCATCGTTCAGCCGTCTCCTGCCCATGGGGGACAGCAGGGCCTGTCCAAGCTTCCCTCCCGGCCTGGAGCCCAAGGGGTTGAACCACAGAGTCTGAGAACATTACAGGTATGTGACCCGCCTTGGGGTCTTTGTGTCAGAGAGCCCTGTCTCTCCCATCTCTGGTTTGGGACTTTTGTGACAATTATAGAAGAACCTGGCCATAGTGGGGATGCTTTTACTCAGTCCTGGGTCCCTCCTGGCATGACTTGGTGTGTGGTACTAGGTGGCATAGTAGGGTGAATAATCCTTATCTTCCCATTGTGGTTTTTCTTATCCGGATGTTTCTAGCTTAGCCCTTTTCCATCTAGGGTTAGATAGCTTATACCAAGGTATAAGGGAATTCCTACCACTAATCAGGATTTACACTGATGGTACATTTATTCCGTAGATCATTAGACAAAATTACCAACTCTGTGTTTCCACTCAGCTGTGTGTTACAGACAGTGTTACCTCATTAGCATTTTGGTGGGGCATTTTACCAGCTATGACTACTTCTTTTCCTCTTCTCCCCCTTCAGGGTCACAGTGTCATCCGTTCAGCGACCACTACCACCCTCCCACATATGTTGATGTCTCAACGTGTTATTGCACCAAACCCAGCCCAGCTACAGGGTCAGCGGGGCCCACCCAAGCCAGGCCTTGTACGCACCACAACACCCAACATGAATCCTGCCATCAACTACCAGCCGGTAAGAGAGCCCTCGTGTGGAAACAGAGAAGTCTTTTATTGCTCTCCCTGTTGAAAGGACCATAGTGTTTAGGGGTTTGGACATAGAGAAGCTGTAGGACAACCCAGGGTAGTTTTGGTGGAGCTTGAATTGACAGCACTGGGGAGTTCCCTGAGGACAGGAGTGGACAAAGGGAGTCTGTACAGCAGGGCAGCGGTGAGCCTGACACCTGCCTGGAAGAAGGCAGGGGCCTGGGGAAGAAGAGGCATAAGGACAGAGGACAGAGAGCATCCCCTTGTTTTCCTTTCAGCAGTTGTCAGTCCTAGCCACTATCATTCTCCTTTCCTGTGTGCTGGAGATCTTTTTCATTGAGGTTGGACACCTCCTATCTTTTCCTGAGTTTTGGGAAAGCTAAGCAGTCCAGACGAGGCTCAGATAATGTTTTCTGCCATGAAAGCAAGACTTGGTCCTTGCTCCCACATCCCATCACTGACCCCTGTGCTCCCTGCATTCCAGCAGTCGAGTTCTTCTGTTCCCTGCCAGCGCACAGCATCCTCTGCCATCTATATGAACCTTGCTTCCCACATCCAGCCAGGGACCGTGAACAGAGTGTCCTCACCACTTCCTAGCCCCAGCGCCATGACCGATGCTGCCAACTCCCAGGCTGCAGCCAAATTGGCTCTTCGCAAACAGCTGGAAAAGACACTCCTGGAGATTCCACCCCCTAAACCTCCCGCTCCCTTGCTTCACTTCCTGCCTAGTGCAGCCAATAGCGAGTTCATCTACATGGTGGGCTTGGAAGAAGTTGTACAGAGTGTCATCGACAGCCAAGGTGAGGCTACTTCCTCTGGTCAGTCTTTTATCTGAGCAAGAGGCTGCCAAGCCTGATTGACAAGTAACCTCTCCTTACTCTTGCCAAACCACCTCTCCTTCGTTATTCAGAGGCTGTTCGGGAGCAGCATAGCAGAAACGCTTTTTGTGTGTGTGTGTAGCTTAGGCTTCTTCATATTTTTATTGTATTTTCTGTATGTTGTATAGTTTTTGCAGTATATTGTTCAGTTCTTTTCAGTGGTGCCTAGCATGATGTATGCATAATTTGGTGACTAGAACACTTGTTAATGTCTGTGTTTATGTGGCATTGTGCTACATTATTATGTTCAGTCCCTGCCGTTTGAGTACTTACAGTTGAGAAAATAGACTTACTGAAGGAGATGACTATGACCACATAAAAGCTGTGAACCAGCCCTGAACCAAACTGTGAAGTATTAACACTAACAGAAGTTACTAAGCCTGAATTTCCAAACATGGGGACCTAGGGGGACACCTGACAGTAGAGGAAAGTGCCTGTGAAAGTATTGGCTCTAAACAGATCACAAAGTGAGTGATTCAGACACTGATAACTAAAAATTGTGACTGTCTGGGCTGGGGGTAAGTGCAATCTGACGTAAAAAGATGCTGTGAAGCAAAAGTGTTGGCGGAGTTGGATGGATCCGGTGTCCTCTGAATGAAGCAGGTTTCCGTCTCGCTGGTGGACGAGGAAGTCAGGGAGCGTGGGTTCTTGGGCCAGCTTTGTCATGAGCAGCCACGCTTCTCAGACTTGGCTTCCTCGTCTGTAAATGGGGTGCTGTGCTCTGAGTTCCCTAAGGTGACGTTGTTACAATTGAATGAAATAAAAGTATTTTCTAAATTGTAGAGTCTCCTTCTTACTTCAGCAGAATAACCTTCTGAAAAATTGATTTGATGAAGAAACAGGAGGTGGGGAAATGTGAAAGCCCTGATGATTCTTTTTGTTGGCATCTAGGCAAGAGCTGTGCTTCACTCCTGCGGGTTGAACCCTTTGTCTGTGCCCAGTGCCGCACAGATTTCACCCCCCACTGGAAGCAGGAGAAGAATGGTAAGATTCTGTGTGAGCAGTGTATGACCTCCAATCAGAAGAAGGCTCTGAAGGCTGAACACACCAACCGGCTGAAAAATGCTTTTGTTAAAGCCCTACAGCAGGAACAGGTAAGAATTCTGACTTCTCACCAGCCACCTGCTCAGGTTGGGTTTTCCCAAAAGGTGGTTCTTTCTAGTTTAGTGGAGTTGTCTGTGTGATCCCCACAGTCCCCGACGACCTAGGCTCCTGGTGCCTCAAGGCCCAGGTTCCCTGTTTGTCTGCTTACCGTTCTGTCTTCCCATTTCCATTTGACTGTCTCTGGTTGGGCAAGAGCGCAACGACAGAGTGGTCCGGGGTGGGGAGGGACAGAAGGCTGAGATGTGGCTTTCCATCCCTAGCGGCACCAACGAAGTCCCTCCATTCACTCCACTTCATTTCCTCCTCAGTCAAATGGATTCTGGCGGGAGGGATTTATACCTGAACCTCTTGGAGAGACAGAATCTCTCTAGTCCGTGTTTGGCAAGGGAATGACAGTGGAGGGAGTGAACTGTGACACGGCCCAGGGAAGAGGAGTGGCGCGGAGTGAGCAGACCTGCCCTGTAGTGTTAGCGGAGTGAGAACACCTGGGAGAGGGGAAGATGTGTTGGGAGGCTTGGATCCTTCTCCTCTGTCCTGTCTCCACCCCCCACTCATCAGACCCCTTTGGGTAGCATCACGGATCTTCTGGAAAATGGGTAGACGAGAGTCCAAACTAAAACCTCAGTAAACTCGTCGGCATTCAGCGCTTCAGTCAGCTGGTTGCCACCACCCAGACCTCTCCTGCCCGCGTCTGAGCACCAGCTTTCCTGGGCAGACGGATCCCCGAATCAGCGAAGCAGTGTTGGCTGCTTGAGCCCAGAGATCTTAGCGCACCTGCCCCGCCCAACTCTTGCCGTTTCCATATCCCTCCTCCTCGCTGGCAGCGTTAGAGATAGGAAGACCTCTAGGTTTTCTGGGTAGGAAATGGAGTGCTGTCCCGCCAAGTTGACCTGATGACTCCCGACAGGAAATCGAACAGCGACTCCAGCAGCAGGCAGCCCTCTCCCCCACTGCGGCTCCCGCCGTGTCCAGTGTCAGTAAACAAGACACCATAATGAGACATCATACGCTTCGGCAGGTGAGGTTCTCTGGGAGGGCTCGTCAGCCGTTGGTCCCATCTTGTCCTTTTTCGGCGGGAAGTCATTCTGCACTTCTGGGCTCCCATACCCTTCCCTCCCCCTTGTCCCTTCGGTGGCGGCAACATTGTGATCCGCCGTCTGCTCGCCCTTGCAGGCTCCCCAGCCCCAGAGCAGCCTCCAGCGTGGCATACCCACCTCTGCCCGTTCCATGCTTTCCAACTTTGCGCAGGCGCCCCAGCTCTCTGTGCCCGGTGGCCTCCTCGGGATGCCAGGTAAGAAGGGCTGATGGGACCAGCTCCCTGGGCGAACAGCTGCTGCTTCTGTTTCTGCTCTCTCTTTAGGCCCCCTCCCTTCACTCTGTTATTTGGCAAGTGTTGGCCAAATTCATAATACATTCAAGACACAGCACACTAGGGTTTTGGTAGTGAAAACGGCCCAGTCCCTGCCATTACCAGTTCGCTGTCTGGTGCGCCCTGTTGGTGGGCGTGTGGTTGCTGATCTCTTGGCGAGAAGAGCAGGGTGCTGTTTGAATGATGGAGGGATGCTTCTTCACAGTCGGCAGCCCCAAACCCAGAGCAGATTCCGTGAGTGCATCTCTTTGCCTTGGTTAATGCCCTCTCGCCACTGTTCCCTCTGACTGTCCCATCCCATCAAGACTGTGCTTATTATACTCCGGGTAGGACCGAAGTGTCAAGAAGACCTCGTTCCCTAAAGCTGGGGTGCAGAGGGGCAGTTGATCGCCGACATAGAGCTTGGCTGAGTCTGGACAGGTGCAGACGGCGTCTGCTGCCTCCTCCCCAGCTCCAGCTCCGCGCCCCTGGCTGGCGCAGTCCAGAAGGTTCCGCCTCTTCTAATGCCTGCCCCCCACCCACCCACCCTGCTTTTGTCTCCTGGGTCCAGGTGTCAACATCGCATACTTGAACACCGGCATTGGAGGACACAAAGCTCCCAGTTTGGCAGACCGGCAGCGGGAGTACCTTTTAGACATGATCCCTCCCCGGTCTATAGCGCAGTCCATCAGCGGGCAGAAATAACGCCCGTCCACTCACGCTGCCCAGCCTCGAACCCTTCACCCCTCCTCTCCCATCGCCCCCAACTTCCGTCGCATGCAGTGCCTGTGCCGGTGCCCACCACGGAGAACAGAGACGCAGAGACGCAGAGAGACGCAGAGACACGGACAGCAGACACCGCCCTAGAGGCCCACAGGATGCGCCGGCCCCGCCGCCCCCCTCCCTCTCTCACCACTGCGGTCCTGCTGCCTCATCTTCTCTGCGGTTTCCACTCACAGTGAGGTGCTCCTCGCCTCCGGTGGAGGTCGGAGTGAGGTCCTGGGGAGACATCTAAGCCCTCTGACGCGTGTTTCTAAAGTTTTTATGCTATAATTATTGTCATTTTTAATGATGTTGTGTGTCCTCCCTTTGTTCAGTGGACGGTTAAACCTTTTTATTTTCCCTCAATATTTTTCTTTTTTGTCTTTTTTTTTTTTTTTTTTAAACACAGATGATATTCAGATAAATGACAGGAGCATTGCAGGGGGCTCCCCAATGGGACAGGACTGGGAGTGTTGGGGGCAGAAATTTTTAATGCACTTAACCTGGGGTGGGGTCAGGGGTTTGGCATCAAAGAGAGGACGTCAGCCCTGGGTGTCTCTGGTCTGGACAGTCTGGGAGGCAGTGTTCAGCTGAAGTTGGGCTCTAAGAATGAGGGGAAAGATCCTGGAGGGAGAAGCTTTAATCCACAGAGAAGGGGACAGGGACATACGAGGACAAGCCAAGAGGAACGGAGGCTGGTCTTGGCCTCCTGGATGCTCTCCTGGTCCCAGTGGAGGTGGAAGTCTCTTCCAGGTCAACTAGCCCAAAATTATTTCATCTTATTTTCTTTGTAAAATTCTGCCCCTCCCCCCTGCCTTTTTAATCCTGATCTGCTCCTGGCAAGAGGGAAGAGCAGCCCCGTTGTAACCGTGTCCTAGAAGTGAGACAGAGGAGGGAAGGGATAGACTGGGGGTGGGGGCGGAGAGACGGAGGGCTTTGTCTCCCAGCAGGTGAGACCCCATCTGTCTTTCCCTCCACCCTGGGTGCCAGGTGCCAGGAGGGGAGGGCAGGGAGGCCTGACCAGCCTGGAGTCCGGCACTGAGTGCAGCACCCACTGCCAGAACCAGACACCTCTCGTTAAAACCAGCTCTGCACCTCTGTGCAAAGTAGCTGTTGTCGCCCCCCCACCCCACCCCCCAGAACTCTCTTAATTTTCCTTTTGTGTTGTTTTCAGCTTTTTCTTAAGTGCTACTAATGTAGAGAATGAACTGAATTGTGCAATGTTGCTGTTCTGGGGTCAGGGGAGGTTAGCATCCCATCTATCTGCCCACACCCTGGGGGCGGGGGGCGGGGACCAGGCTGGTTTGAGGTAAGGGAAGCCCCTTCAAGGTGGGGGTTTCTGCTCTCCTGTAATGTTCACTCACCTGCCTGTGCAGCTCTAGAAGCTGCCAGAGTGCGGGGAAGGGGGGAAGGGTTACTCGGAGCAGAGAGGTGTGAGGACTGGAGTTTGCCCTTGAAAGCCACCTGGAAAAATTCTCCCACTTTTATGTTAAGAAATTAAATAACTTTTTTAAAGTAAGAAGGCACTTTTAAAATTAACACACACACACACACAAACTGCACACCCTCCCCATAAAGTTTGGGGGTTGGGGGGGTGGAGGAGTTGGGATCAGGCTCAGTACCCCCCTCTCCGTACCCCAGAGCCCTGCGGGCCTCCCTGGGTTTTTTCTTTCCTCCCTTCCCCCAAATTCATTGAGCACTTAATAAAGGAGCAGAGATACACCCTGTGTCTGGGCTCCCCCAGTGGTGAAGTGATCTGAAGCTAGATGCTAGTAACAGATAATGATGGGGCTGTTTGGAGTATTTTCCAGGGGGAATATGGTACCCCTGACTGTAAGTGGTGGGAGAGGGAGGGGGGTTATGAAACTGGGTCTGGGATTATTTTAAAATTATATATATATATATAAAGATATATTCTTACATCTTTTCTTTACCCTCTGTGCTTTGAAAGCACTGGATAAATCGTTTGGTTTTGCTTTTCTCTCTTCCACGAATTTGGAAGCTTCTCCTCCCCCCCCCCCCCCCCCCCCGCACGCCCAAGTCATCTTGCCTTGTGGCATGTCTGTCTAGCCTCTTCCACCCCGCCCACCATGATGAAGTGCCATTTCTGTTATGTCTCCCCTCCCCCAGCTCGGAGGTACCAGGTGCCCAAGCCTGTCACTTGAGATTAAAAGTAAGGAACAGAGAATGTGCAATACCGTCTGGTTGGGGCCGTCCCTGCCCTGAGCTGAGCCTCCTCCCTGGGAGCCAGGCCACCTTTGAATGGGGTTTGGAAGTAGGATGTGTAGACAAGAGGGGAGTAATGGGGAAGGAATGCCCAGCCGAGTGCCTGCCAGGGTGCTGAGGTAACGGGGGTGGACGGAGGACAGGGGGAGCCTTCCCTGCTTCTGTCCCCTCAGGCTCAGTTGCATAGAGGCTGCTTATTGACTAGTATAGCTCCGTGACCCTTTGCTCAATCGCTGAGGTTTGATTTCTTATCCCTCCTCCCCATTTTCATGCCCTTCCCTGGGATTCGTGATGGGGGTGAGTTTTCCTTAATCATGGTGAAGTATTAGCCTTCCACCTCCTCCCTTGCTCCCCACCCCCATCCTTCTGTCTTCCTTATTTCTCTAGGTTTTCATCACTGACCACCTTGTGTCCCTCCGAGTCTCTTGTTGCTCTCCATCCCCTGGCTGGGCCTGTAGACACTAAACCTCATGCCTAAAGATGGGAGGAAAGACGCTCTGTTCAGAGTTATCCTCTCCCCCAGAGCTCTGAAGCTCAGGGGACGACTAGAGTCAGGACCCCCTGGTTCTTCCTGGCTTCCTCCGTATCCAGAGGTTCTCCAAGTAGTGGTTTATGGACAGTGGCTTACTCCCTAGACGCCCGAAACGAGTAGATGAGCAGGAAAGCTTGGGTAAAGCTGAGGGACAGAGGTCCTCATTTGTCAATTTTTTTTTTAATTTTTAATTTTCATTTTCTATTTTTGTCATTTGACCACAGCATCTGGACTTTCTCCATCCCTGGAATAAGTATTTTTCCACATTTTTGGATGTATGTATGGTAGACAATTTTTTTTTAAGACACAAAGATAAATGTTTTCCTGCTTTGGTTACCTTTCCTTTCCCCTTTAAAAGGACTTAGCTCTAGAGCCGCTTTGTAAAGATGCTTCTTGGTATTTTACTTTTGTCCCTTTCCCCAAGCACTCCTTCCCCCTAACCCTCCTCTCCACACCCCACCGCACCCGGCCCTAGGCTCCCCTGCCCTCCAACAAGACCTTCATTAGCTTATGATACTTGCTGCCGAGATGTTATAACAAGGACTCATTCGTGTATATAAGCTATTTCTTGATCCATTTAAAAGGAATTGTACATTGTGTAGAAAAAAAAAAAAAACCTGAAAAAGAGAAAAAAAAGCCCTCGCCATGGATATTGTGAAACTGTGTTACGTCATTTTGTAATGTGCCGTTTGTGTATGATCCGTGCAAAAGGGTTTCTGGGGAAGGGGCGGGGGTAGGGAGGCAGGGCTGTGGAGGGTGGGGCGGGGAGTGGGCCGGGCCCAGCACACTGAGACTGGCGGCTGCTCCAGCCCCATCCCTCCTTAGAGATGCCACCTCCCCCACCACCCACCCCTAATTTGTGCCTTGCCTCCCGCCCTGGAGTAGTCCTCCGGGTCACCAGCACTGCCTTGGCAGAGCCCACTCCCTACCCTAACCTGCCCCCCTCCCTACACCCCAGCATTAGGTGGATACTGTGGGGAAGTGCTGGGGGGTCGGGAGGTAGCCGAGGAATGGGGCAGTTCCCGGGGGCATTGAAACCAAGTATTATTATGAATTGTAACTGTATTTGCACTGTTTTTTTTCCTCTGATTGCATCAGCATATATACAATATACCTATATAACAAAATTCAGTGTCAAGCTTTCTTATGCAAGGGATCTCCCCCACCCCGCCCCCCCCAAAAAGAACCTAGTTCCACGGGTCTTTGAGAGTAGATTATCAGGGGTGATAGAAGGAAAGGATTTTAACAAGTCATTCTAGGAAAGCCTCACGGACGGAGCTACGTGTATCTGCACGCGGTTTTCGGCTTCGCAAATTGGGGTGAGGCGGTTCCCCATGAAAGCCAGAGCTCCTGGTCTGGGCCGTGGGGCGTGGAGCGCCGCAGCACGCGGGGTGGGGGAGGCAGCACTGTCCGGAGACCTGGGGTCTGGCCCCGGGCTCTCCCACTGACTTGCTTTGTGACCTTCGGTAGAGTTCATCTTCCGGGTCTCCGTTTTCTTACTTGCGAAGTGACAGGGGCGGTCACCTGGCCACCACGTGTAAAATTCGACCTTATGCTTCCTTCCTCACCTGCAAAACAACAGCTTGAGGTGGGGAAGGTGTGGGGCTGAAGATGCAGGGGGGACACCTACGTGTTGAGGTGCAGTGTGTGCGACCGGGCGCATGAGGGCTGCCAGGCCCCTGCCATTACTTTGGTTTTGGGAGAGGCGGCAGAGTGATGTCTGGACATCAGGAGGCCTGTGACTGCTTTGCCCTCAGACCCACAGGGCCCCCGGGGTGCTTGAGCGGTGGTGCCCGGCTGGCGGTCTAGTCACGCACACCCTTGTGGGCTGCGGGGTGCAGAACGTGCCCATCTTCTTGGCGACAGCGTAGCGGAGCTCAGATGCACTCCAGTTCCTGTGCCCTTCAGAACTCACGCCAGCCCTCGTGGGGGCTCCCCACAGCCTGGCTGAGGCTCCCACACTCCAGGCTCCCGGCTGGGGAAGCCTGGAGAGCATCTGGGAAGGTGGCCGAGGCCTGGCGAAGGCTGGGGCAGAGGGGTTGGGGCGGGGAGCGGGGCTGGGGCGGGACGGGCCTCTCTGAGTGGGGGTGGGGGGGCAAGACCCTTTTGCACAGGCCCTAAGTTTCCTTTTTTTAACTCATTCTGATTTTCTGCATTGTGTTTGGAAATTAAAATGAAAAAACCAAGACCAACGGAAACTGGTTTTCAAAAAGGCAAATACACTCCCATCTGTTTCAGATGCTGCTGAGCATTTCAGCAGTAACAGATTCAAGTAATAAGCTAATTTTTGGAGAAAGGATTAAAAGAAAAACTTTGTAATATTTATCACTTGCAAGCTATGTTTAATAAAGAAAGGAATGGTTTCTAAACTTCCCTGTGGCTCGTGCTTTAGTCCTGGCAGGCATGGGGGCGGCAGTTTGGCGGGGGCGTTCCAGGGGTGATTGGGGGAGGAGCTCTGCCTGTGCCCCCTACAGGGACGGGGTAGCTCTGGGTGCCCCCTTTCCTGCCAGTGGTTATTGACACCTTCATGTGGAGCTGGTGTTCTAGAAGCCACTGACCTGGTGACGGAGGGTCTGACACTGTTGGGAAGGAGGCTGGGTCTCCAGCTGTCCTTGGTCCTTCCCATCATACTGCTCCCGTCTCTCCTGGTCACTGGACCCTCTGTAATGTGCTGGTTTCCGGGGTGGCGGCCTTCGGAGCACCTACACTGCCCTGCAGCAGCTCCCTCATCCACACACGGCGTCCCCCGAGTTCTCCTTCCAAGCCAGAATATTGACCAGATCCTAATTTTTTTCCATTTGGCTTTTTATTTCCAACAGAGTACTTCGGTCAGGTCCACCCAGAGGACAGGATGTTGAAGTTTGGGGCTGTTGGTTTTTTTTTCTTTTAACTATGCACTTAAATTTAAATCCAATTAACATGTATTATTAGTTTTAGAGCTAGAGTTCAGTGATTCATCACTTAATGTACAACACCCGGTGCTCATCCCATCCCGTGTCCTCCTCAATGCCCATCACCCAGGGACCCTACCCCCCACCCCCTCCCCTCCAGCAGCCCTCCGTTTGGTTCCCTCCAGGTAAGAGTCTCTCATGGTTTGTCTCCCTCTCTCTGATTTCGTCTTGTTTTATTTTTGTCTCCCTTCCCCTGTGATCCTGTTTTGTTTCTTAAATTTCACACCGTACTCAACACCCAAAGAACAAATAATCCAGTCAAGGAATTGGGCAGAAGACATGAACAGACATTTCTCCGAAGAACACATACAAACGGCCGACAGACACATGAAAAAGTGCTCCACGTGAGGCTCGGCATCAGGGAAATGCAAATCAAACCCACCATGAGATCCCACCTCAAACCAGTCAGAATGGCTAAAGCTAACAAGTCAGGAAACGACAGGTATTGGGGATGCGGAGAAGGTTTGGGGCTGTTCTTAACCCCTGGGTCCCCTGCCACACGTCTGGTCGAAACCGGCCCGTCCCTCCTGCAGAAGGCGCAGACGCGCCGCGGCAGGACCAGCCTTGCCGAGGTCTTGCCATCATTCTGCATTCTGCAGGGGCACAGAGGGAGGCAGGGTTCAGGGTCCTCCTCTAAACCCTGGGTTTTCCTTCCTCCAAGATCCTCCCTCCTTCGGTACCGTACAGGATAGCCATGGAGGGCCATTCTGGGGCTTTGGCTTCGGGGTGTGGTAGGGCTGGGTGAGGCGGGACAGCGGGGCCCTGGGTGCCACAGGCCGGCAGAGAGCGGAGGGGAGGAGGACGTGCTCTTCAACACCTGCATTCGAGGGGCACCGAGGGGTGGGGTGCTCCACAGCCTCTCTGCTCTCTCCACGAAGGATTCACAGCCACCACAGGCCCAGCGCCAGCCGCTGTCTCCTCTCAAAAATAGAAATCAAACGGGGGGGAGTGCTCCGCCGCCCACAGCGGGGCCAGGGCTGTGGATCTGGAAAGAGGGAGATGGCTGCTCGGTTGCTCAGAGAAGCAGCTCCCGTCAGCTCAGATGTTCAGGACGTTCGTGGTGTTGGGACAAAGGGGCAGGGAGCTCCCTTTGCCCACCTGCCCACTCAAGACTATGAGAAGTGCAGGCTGCCTGTCCCTGGGGCAGAGCTCAGCTTGGGCACAAGGAGACCGATATCAGACTAGGGGTTCTGGCCATGAGGTAGAGGTGCGCCCCTTGCCCTGCTCCCCGCCTAGGGGAGACCCCTAAAACTATACATCTTTGGGTAGGTTCATATTTGGATCAAGAGCATATCCTGGATGGGGTTATGAGGCAGGGATGACTCCCAGCTGAGCTTGGTTTAATCTGAGGCTCTTTAGTGTGTTGGGGAGAATGACATTTCCTGAGGAGGAGAGAGGAACAAAGAAACCACACGGTCTTCTCTCCCTCTGTGGTCAGGCCTGCACTTCCGTGGAGAGGAGCGGAGGGACCCGGGGTTCTTTCCAGACTCTAGGGTGACGGGACAGGTGAGGTATTCTCTGGTGGGCCAGTTGGTGCCATCGGCGGGGAGCCTGCTTGGAGGGCCCTAGGCTAAGGGACGCTGTCCCAGCCACAGTCAGGCCTCAGCGCCGGGCCTCAGGCACACCACTTGCCCCACCCATGCCTCTCCGGTGAACCCCCCTCACCTGCAGGATGAGTGCAGTCTTCTCTCCCTGGAGCCTGGCCTCAGCGGTCCCCAGCGCGGTCGGAGGCAGGCAGAGGCAGTGCCGAGGAGCACCCTTGGGACCCTGTCTGCAGAGCAGGCTGCCCAGATAGGGACCTGCCTGGGGCCTCCCTCCGGCTTAGCACACTCTCCGTGGGCAGAGGGCGCAGGCGGCAGCCACCTGGCTCTGGCCCGCTTCTGCCCCCTGTCCTCTGCCTGGGCGGGGCACGCTCTCTGCCCACCAGGCCGGCCCTGCTCTGCAGCTCTGGGAGGGGCGGCCGGCTCTGCCTCTCTGCTCTGCCTCTCTGCTCTGCGGCTCCCGGCCACACTATGCGGATGGTCTCCTAGCAGCTTTGCAGGTGCTGTGGGCAGCAGGGCCGTGAGGCCCGCGGGGACACCACAGCCCCAGGCAGCGGGGGGCTCCCATCCCGACTGCAGGAGCACCCAGCCTTGGACTCTGGACACAGTGCCGTCCGTCAAAGCCCAGCCCCTCCGCCTCCCTGAAGACTGACCTTCATGGGTCCTATGGGAGGGGCCTGCTGTGCCCCGGCCTGCCACCTTCTCACTGGACCCCACCTCACGCAAGGAGACAGCTGCTGGGACCCTGCCTGTAGCCACTGAATGCCTGGAGCTGGATCTCATACAGGGAGCAGGACGTGGGGAAGGCCGCAGGCCTTTCTGGGCTGTAAAGCTCAGTGCCTGGCGAAGGACACGGAGAAGGGGGCCAGGGGGCTGAAGAAGGGTCAGGGCCTCACCCAGGTCTGTGCAGAGGAAGGGGTGACACTGTGAGGCAGGAGCAGGAGTCCCTCGAAGCAAGCAGCTGGGGGAAGGGTTTGAGGCCGTGGATGGGCCCCCGGCTGGGGTGGCAGCCGCCCGGAGGCCTGCACACCAGTGCTACCGAGCACGTCGGTGGAGAAGCCTAGGGCGGCGGAAGCTGCAGAGGACATGGTATGAGCCGGTCTGCGGGGCTGGGGAGGCTGCCACTCACCGCGGCCCCTGGTGGAGGCGTCCCTGGAGGCGGAGTCCCGGCTGGCACCCTCCGCTGAGGAGGCCCGCACGTGGGTGGAGTCGGTTGTGGTGGGCTCCAGGCTGGAGGAGACATGCTCAAAGCTGCCTTCGCCCACGGCCTCGTGGAGCTCTGGGCCAGCTGTCTCTGAGGAGCAGAGCGGCTTGGCAGCTTAGCACCCCTCTTCCTCAACACAAACAGCCCGCACTCCACAGAGGGGGCATGAAGGCCCTCCTGGTGCCTGGCTGGGCCAGCCAGGTCTCCACCGAGAGCAGGGAAGGGGCTGCAGAAATTGGAGCTAGGATGAGAAGGGGCGCAGGGCATGAGGAGACACCAGGGAGCCACAGACCCAGAAGCCCAGCAAGGGCCCAGCCACGTCTGGGGATCGCGAGGAGTGGAAGGAACTTGCCCAGGGGTACCACCCATCAGGCGCAGGGGTGGCCAGGGATTCCTGGCTGCCCACCCACATCCCACCTCCCACAGGCCGGAGGTTCGGCACATAGCCAATGATGTCCCTGTTGGGGGGCAGGTGGTTCCCAGGACACTGGAATGACAGAGATGGAGAGGGCCATCCCCTGCAGCCCCCTTGGGGCAGGGGGTTGCCCTGGGTCCCCTGTCACAGCCAGGCGGGAGCCTGCGCTGTTCCCGGCCACGCATTGGTAGATGGCCTTGTCCTCCTCTGAGAGCCCCGCCAGCGTCAGTGTGCTAGGGAAAGACACGGCAGCCGGGGGCTCCTTGCTGCCAAGCCCCCCTGCCCCGGTTAGGTGGCCCTAAGGAGGGGACTTTCTCTCTCAGACACCGCAGACCTGCCCAGGAGCAGGACCCGCCCCCTGTGTGGTCTTACCTACAGCGGAGCGGCCTGGGGGTGCACTTGCCGGAGCTTTGTGGGGACTTTGGAGGGAGGTAGTGTGTCTGGTGTTTGGTGTAGGTGGGCACACATGCCTGGGGTGGGCTAAGGCACCCACTTTGGGCGGGGGTGGGACACAGGAACCTGGGGCACGTGTTGTCGTGGGCCAGCCGAGTGTTTTCCCCAGGACTCAGCACCTTCCCATCAGGGACACCCCGGGCCACGCAGGTGAACATGGCAGTGCTGCCTGGAGGCTTGAACAAGGACCGTGGCCACTGGACAAACCGGGGGTGGGGGGTGGCAGGGAGGCAGAGGGGAGGGCAGTGCTGGGCCAAGGGGTGGACGGCACCGTAAGGCCCTGCGTCTTGTCCCCTCCTGCCCTCCCTCTCCCCCACGCAGGTTCCCATGCGGGGAGAGGGAGCCCAGGGCCCTCCCCTCCCGGCCTCAGGACTCACCAGCAGGATGCTCTGTGCCATGCGCTGGACACAGGTGCCCGGCCGATTGGCAGCACAGACATAGATGCCCCAGTGCTGGACAGACCCTTCAGAAATCATGAGGTTCCCGGTGCCCAGGACTTGGATAAGCACCCCACCGATGGAGCGGCCATCTGCGGGGAGGCCGGGGGTCAGGGCTGGGAGAGGGCCAAGGGCTGAGGGCTCTGGGGGGGGCGGCTGCATACCCAGCAGCTTCGGGAGACGAGCGGCTGTGGGTGGCCAGGGTCAACGCACTCCAGCCACCGTCTGATGCGCCGCGCTCGTCAGGTCCTGAGGCCCGGACAGGATCTGAGGCTCCTGCAGCAGCCGTGGGGATCCCACTGTGAGGTGCAAACAGCAAGCAGGGAGCAAAGCAGAACTGGACCACTCTGTGCCCAGTCCACC